TCCATTGAAAGGGGACCTTGAGAAATAAAGTCTTCTATTCCACAGAAAGTGTGATGAGTTTTAGCGGTCTCGCGATACCCGGGATATCCGTTCTCACGAAGCAGGTCCTGCATCTCTATAAGCGTGTCGTATAAATGGAACATTTATATACCCATAGCCGCTTCTATACTTCCTCCTGCTCAGTCGAAAAGTCTTGTAGGTCTTTCGTTTCCTCTGCGTGAAATGAGTGTAACTGTTTTGACTATTTTCGTGTCTGTCCCGGCGAAAATTCATCTCATGGTTGTGTGCCACGCCCAAGACATCGTTATTATTATTATCATCACAACAAGCCATTAAATCCGAGCCTACCATCGAAAAGCAAACACGGAGTCCTTTCGCCTACTAGCCCCATCATTACCGTTCTCCTTCCCCCTCTGGCTGACGTTCCTTTTGTCAAAAAAGGCTCAGAGGACTCCCGACCCCTCCCCCCCCACAAATAGTTGTTCACCAAGCTAGATTTGTGGAAAATAACTGATTGGGAACTGCTGGATGTGTTGCCTATGAGGGCGTGGCCTCCTCTGCTTTGAGTACCTAGTTCTAACGGCGAAGATTGGTCTAGACTTTTTATAATACATTTATCCAAGTTTCTCCACTTTTATGACAGGAGGAGAGCATTTATTCCAAACCACAAAACGAAAAGTTTTCGGAAACCCTGGATAAACTCCTCGCGTTCTCTCCTTGTATCAGTGCTCTGAACAGAGTTCAAAATAAGACCACTTCCTAGTGTTTTAGAGGAAAACCTATGTTTAAGACGCCAGTATTTTCAACCGATGGACAGAGGAACCCCAGACAAAACATGCCTAAGAAAGGCAAGATTAGGGGCAGACAATCTGCGCTAAACCTTCACATTTTCGATAGGTTTTCAAATGCAAATAAAACGTTCAGGTAAGCTTGCAAAATTTGTTACCCGTAAAGACAATGAAAAGTAAGTTTCTACAGGGTAGAACGGGGCTTTTGACTGGAAATCCTTCCGTTTACCAGGGAACAGTAGACTCTTATGGCTATACATATGGGCTACTGTTCTTAGATATACAGAATTAGTGAACTGACAAGGAGAACATAAAACTGGTGGCATAAGAAGGTAACTTGTCTAGCGTTTCAGATTCACGCTCGAAGTTATCATGAGTTATCATAAATCAAACAGCCTTAATCAATATGCAGGTAAGGATGATTGGTACGGCCGCGCCAAAACAGGACACGAGAAGGGGAACTACCCGCCAAATTAAAATAGGTGGCCTTGTGATAAAGTTCGGGGAGGGGGTAAATATTCCCCTGCCTTAACCACTTCCGTGGCCCTGACAGGATAAGGGAACGAAAAGGGGTGGTTTTGCGCTAAACACCGGGAAAATTTAGGGTTAGAGTAGGATGAGAGTTAATGTAAGAGTTTAGGTTTGTGTTAGTGTCAGGGTAAAAAAACAGGAATAGGTACACTTCTTGCAGGTTAGCGCAATACCATTTGTTACAGGAAACCGTTCTTATTTCCTTCTCCAGCCTAGGAGAATATAAACTATTCCCACTGTTGAGTTTTTTCAGTGAACGGTAGTGAAGAGTAACAATCAGTTCTGCGTGTACAGGCATCAGTTTAAGTCCCTGCAAAGGGGGGGGGGAGGGTGGACCTGCAGGTTCCACCAAGTTAAAATGCGGACCCACATACAGGTTGAACATCAAAGGATCTGACTCCGTACAGGAGGTGCTAACGCAAGAGGACAGGTGCATGTGAATACACCAACAGGAACGCATGCATACAACAAACTGCACAAACACACAGGAGTGACGGTAGCGGAGACAAGGACGAAAGTGAGGTCACACCTTCATTGCATCATCCGGGCCGGAGAAGCTGGTCTGTAGCATGAGAGAAACTGCAGACTGTAGAACGCGTAAATAATCCTACTATAAGGAGACATTCCCGAAAAAATGGAGAATGGCAATCAGACAAAAAGGCGGGAGAAACTTTTCAGCCGAAAATGGCTTCCCGGTCCTAATTGCGAGTTAAGGAAAATAGGACTTGGACCGCCAATGGAGGCAAATGCTTGCATTCCAGGTTCGTGTGTGTATAGTTTAAGAAGAAGGCCGGTTGCT